AGGAGCAGTTTTGAGCCATATAATGGCAAAGGGGCAACAAGCACTCATAGTGTATTATTCCCCCTGTGGAAAGAAATTATGCAGAAATTGACAAGGAGGTATTAGCAGTAGTAGCTGGAATAAAAAAATTCCATGATTTTCTTTATGGTTGCCCATTTACAGTCTTTACAGACCACAAGCCTCTTCTAGGTCTGTTTACTGCAGACAAGCAAACCCCTCAGATCCTTTCTCCTAGGATGCTGAGGTGGTCAATTACAGGCTAGTCCATAAGCCTGGTAAGGAAATGGGCCACACTGATGTGCTCAGCAGGCTGCCCCTGCCTAAATCAGAGCCAGACCCTGCACCTGCTGCATGTATCCCGGCTATCCAGGATCTGCCAGAGTCTCCCCTTCATGCTGGGGATGTGGCTGCTGAAACAGCCACTGACAAAACACTCAGTCGTATTTTGAACTGGGTGCTGAGGGAGTGGCCTGAAGCCAGTCCTGGGACAGAATTTCACAGCTTCATCAGAAGACAAGATGAGTTATCAACCTACAAGGACTGCATTCTATGGGGAAGTCAGGTCATAGTCCCACACACATTAAAGCAAGGGTCTTAGAATCTCTGCATGAGGGACATCCTGGAATAGTCAGGATGAAGGCACTCACAAGAAGCTACCTGTGGTGGCCAGGTTTGGATAAGGATATAGAGGCTCAAGTAAAAGGATGCCAGGTTTGCCAGCAGACCAGACCTGAAATGCCTCAAGCGCAGTACATCACTGGGAGACCATGCAAACTCCCTGGTCTCGAATTCATATAGACTATACAGGAGCCTTCCAAGGACAGGTGTTCCCCATTGCAGTGGACAGTTCTCTAAGTCAGGGCTTTTCAACCAGTGGTATGGGTACCACCTGTGGTACATTGGCACCTGGCAGGTGGTACACGATCATCCTAGAAAAGTGGTAGCGAGGGAGGGGAATGAGCTGAACCGGTGGTAGCACCGCACAAGCTTGAGCAAGAGATGGCTGGAGCTGCAGGGCTGTTAGGGCTCAGCGGAAGTGCCAGGATCAGTGCTGCTTTCCAGCTGATCGGTGCTTCTTCGGGGCTATCAGTGTGGGGGGAAAAGCACACGCAGCAAACTGCCATGCTTTCCCCCCCCCAACAAACCTCATAACCTTTTGATACCCTATGTCCCAAGGAAGCAGCCAAAAGATCACCCCCTTTTGACTTAATACCTTACCTACCTAAATAAATAATATGCTTTAAGTTCCCCCTTATCTCTTCCTGTCTTTATCTCTTCCTGTCCTTGTCAGTTCTTTCTCCTTTTTTAATCTACCTGTATTTGTTTTTACCTACTCTCAACAGGTAATATGTTACTAGAAAATAATTGCTTATATGAAGGAATTTTTCAATTACTTTATGTCAACAGCTAAAGGTTAAACTTATAAATGTAAAATGTCAGCAGTTAATGGTAAAGCCTATGTATGTAAAAAGTATATAAGAAGCAATAAACTCAGAGTTTGTCAAGCTGTGTCCTGCCGCTTCAAACCTCTGCTCAAGAAATGCCTGAGTCTTTTTCTTAGCATCGTTACATATCAGGGCTCAGTGGAAGCGCCAGGATCAGCGCCAGGCTCCAGCTGGAGCTCGGTGCTGATCCTGGTGCTTTTGCTAAGCCCTGAAGAAGCACCAATCAGCTGGAAAGCAGCACTGATCCTGGCACTTCTGCTGAGCCCAGAAGAAGCGCCAATCAGCTGGAATGTTGCAGCATATCCAGCAGATGGGGGGAATAAAAACCAAACACCACCCCACACCACCCCCGCTGCCAATCCTCAACAAAAATGCTCACAACAATGAAAACCTCGGAGGAGGAAGAGTGCCGCTGGGTGGGCAGGCAGGTGTCTTCCTCGGCTGTGGCTTGGGGGGCACTTTTTTCGGTGCCATTGTAACTTCGAACAGTGACTAAGTGAACTATTGTAAGTCGAGGACTACCTGTAGTTTATCACTTTTTTCCTCTTTTTTGGTCAAGTTTTTGACACTTTGCTAGGCGATTGGTGGTACTTGGATGTTGCCATATCCTAAAAGTGGTACAATGGGTGAAAATGTTGAAAAGCCCTGCTCTAAGTGGCTTGAGGTAGCACCTGTCCCTACTATGACTACTGCCAGGACCATCCAGGAACTGCGCAGAATCTTTGCCACGCATGGCTTGCCTGATGTGATTGTGGCACAATTCTCTGCTGCTGAGTTTCAGTCCTTCTTACGGACTAACATGATTAGACATGCTACCTCTGCCTCCTTTCACCCTGCTTCAAATGGTAAAGCAGAACGTATGGTCAGGACGACCAAGGAAGTGTTAAAAAGAATAACCACAGGTGATTGGCATCAGCTGGCAGACTTTTTGCTCTGCCAACACACAACTCTGTGCACTTCAACGGGCTGCAGCCCTGTAGAACTGAGATGGGGACATTGGCTGACCACTAAGCTAGACTGTCTCCATCCGGACCGGGCAGCTGCGGAGATAGCACAACCCAAGCCCCCGTGGAATCCGCAAATCGGTGACAAAGTTTAGGCGAGGAAATACGGGTCAAGGGGCACCATGGGTGGTAGCTGTGGTTTGTAAGGTGTCAGGGCCAGTTATATGAGTTGGCCTTGGAAGATGGTCATGTGGTTCGGGGCCACATTGACCAATTGCAATGGCGGCAGGCTAATCAAACCCTGACCACTGATAGCAAAGAGAACTGGGGGGGGTGCCAGATGACTGCAACACACCTGAGTCCCCTGATTTTTGTGAAACTAACAGAGAGAGGCAAGGTGACTTATCCTTGTCTGAGTCACTACAAACTGCAGAGACAATGTCAACAGAAAGGGATTTATTGACGGACTTGTTTCCCAGACTGTCAGTGGGTGACATGAGCACTGGTCTACCCAGCCAGGACATTCCGAGAGGAAACAGTCTACCTAGTCAGAACATTCCGAGAGGAAATGGTCTGCCCAGCCAGGACATTCCGAGAGGCACCGTTCACCCAGCCTGAAAGTCCAGGGAAGCACCAGTCTACCTGAGGTGAACAGCTCTAAGAACCCTGGTCTACCCAGCTTATCAAAAGGGCTGGTAGACTGGGGTCTGCGAACATTGGAGCGGGTGTGAAACCCGCCAGCCTACTTACGAGACTACATTCATTATTGTGATATGTGATTACTTAGGGGGAAGTGGTGTTGTGTATTAACCCATTTTTATAATGGCAGTTATAAAGCAGTTAAATGATTATGTTTAAATAAGGCTCTAACCGTTGTGTATTATAACAAGCCTGCACTTTAGGCGGCAAATAGTGTTTTAAACTGATTGGCTGCCGTCTAGTGGCAGTCCGGTATAAATAGGAGTCACGCGGCTGTTAGAGCTGCTTGTGTGTTGATTCAATAAAAGAATTGTTACTTAACCTTCAGTCTCCTCAATGCCTCACCATCCCAGAACAGAATACCCTTGATGTTCGCTGGCTGACAGCGATCCCAGCTGTTCAGCGGCACTCCACGTGGCCTCAGATGGCTTCCAAACCAGCGAGAACCAACCGGCGACAGCAAGTCAGTCAAGACCCCATCTCATGGCATCCCTCCCACAGATGGATCAAGACGGTGCCTTTCAATTGGGCCGTCTCCACGCGTTTCTCATTGGCCAAGTCCGAGGTGGGGCCTGAAAACAAGAATTGACCGCTCGAGGCCCAAATCACACGTTTGTGAAGATTTCCGGTACCGAGACTATGCCACCCACCCACCCTGGGACTGATGAGGACTAAAGCCAAGGAGAAGCAAACAGTTTCAATACACGTCGGCCTGGACAGAAATACACACACACACACACACACACATCTCAGTTAACCGGTTTCTCCCGGATTTGAAGAGGGGGAAAGGGCCGGGCTGTGCAACGAACTAGATACGGAGACAGGACGCGTGATGCTGCGGCTGTTCCTGTCCCGCCTTAGTCCTGGTCCTGCGGAAGCGCACAATTAACAGACCGGCCCCAGAGGTATGCACGACAGCGTACGCCGGCCTTGCCACCTTCCCCCAAACAATCTGCGGTGCTTATCCCAGTAGAATTGAAGCCCCGTTCAGAACTGTTTTCAAGATGGCTGCTTTTAGGTCCGGGTGGAGGGAAACGTAATAGCAATGCTAGAGGCTGTGGCCTCTTATAGAGATAAAACTAGTTTTGTTAGTTTCCTAGCACAGAGGATTCGGCTGCAAAATGTTGCGGGATCGGAAGGGGAAGGACGTTAATCTGAAATTCGGTGGGTGACGGCCTGGAACAAGAGGGTCCTCGATTAAGCTCCCGTATCGCCCCATAGCGTGATGTCTGGGGCGGGGTGGGGAAAAAAACGTGAACTTGCGTGTACGCTGCCTAAGGTCTTTTTGTCTACAGGGACGATTACCAACTTCTCAAGTCACTGGGGCATCTCTGGTCATCTATCAAATGGGAGGGGGAGGAGGCGGGGTTTATGCGCTTATCTCCCCTGTCCAAGGGCAAGCAGTTCTGCAAGTGCCGGAGGTGGTGGTAAGATTTGAGGGTTTGTTTGTTCATTCAACTTTGGGGCCGCCTTAGTCCTTCGACTTGCCAACCGTTCACTAGACCTTCTCCCACACGTACGCCAAGTAAGGCGGCCCGTGAGGGAGGCATCCACATGGTGAATGGGGGGAGGGCTGCCCACCAATCCAAAGCAACGCGTTCCAACCGCAGCAACAGTAGCGAGGTGGCAAACCGGACATTCTTCTCTGCTTTCCGTGACTGGGGTGGGAAACGACGGCCAGACGGGTCATAACGTTCCTATACAATGGCACGCACTCCGAGGTCAGCAGCATTTTAGAAGCAGAGTCAGAAACACGAAGTGGTAGGCAACGGGCACGCTTGGCTAGAAATAAACAAATTGCAGGCTGCTGCTACCGCCTCTTGCCTCCACCCCAGCCGCCCCTTCCCAAGCTGCGTCAAGAGGGAAAAGTTTTGCCTTAAACAATCCCCCGCAAGGATCTCTTTTACGTTACCTGGCTTCGTCTGTCTCTTTCTCTAGCTTGGGCTGGGTTGGCCCTTGGCTCTAAGCTTGCCGCCGCCGCGCCGGTTCCTGCTCCCTGTCACTGGGTGAATGGGATTATTTATTTATTTCCCGTGACGTGATCCGCAGCGGGGGGAGGAGGAGGCGGCAGGAGGCTGAGACGCCTTTTGTGCAGCCGGTCTGAAGCTGCCTTCAACCGGAGGTCGAGGAGGAGGAGCGGGAAAAAGTTCGCGGTCACCCGACCTGTCCTTGACTGCTTTTGTTATTGCGGCTGCTGTTTCTCCCGCTGCGAAGGATTGGTGTCAAGGGCAATCAGGAGCCCAAGTAGCATCCCCCGCCTAGGCGAAGTAGGGCGGAGGTTGCCTGCGGAGGGAGGCGGAGGCGCGTGCTGCTGAGCTCCAGTCTCTAAGCCGGCAGCTCTCCCTTCTCGTTGGGCGGCTAAAGAAAAGGTGGAAAACACGGAGGCTGATAAGATGCGACGAAGGAAATGCGAAGGGACTCAGAAGAGCCCTGCGAGATTCCCGTTGCCAGAGCGGCTGTAACCCAGTTACGCAAATACAGTTCGTGTTGTCGCTTTGCTTATCAGGAGGGTGAAGCTGCGCTACGACTGCAAAGGCACCCACCCCGCCGTTACAGCGAGCGCCTCCGCTCGCTTTTGCTCTCGGTCGGTCTGCTTTGGAGCAAAGATAGCATCACCACACTTTGCCCGCATATCCATGATTTCCTCCGATGGTGTGGATGGGCCCTGAGATCCCGGAGAGCAGTTCTCCGCATCTTTCTGCTCAGACACAGGATAAACAGGAGTGCTTTTCACGTTTTCAACTTTTCACTTTCACAAAGGGAAGTGAAATTCACGAGGTCCGCTGCTGGGGGCGTGCGAGAGGGTACGGTTTCAGTTGGAAGTCAGCAAGAAGCCAGACTTATTGCCAAACTTATGTTGAAACTGCAGCTATAAATTTCTCGTAATCTTTTTCTTGGAGCTTGGAGAATGAGTCGCCTCTCGCAAGATCCCTCTTCCAAAGCAGCTCAAGAAAGAATCTCTTGTTTCCCATCCTCCGTCGGGTGTGAAAGGGAGAAAAGGAAAACTGAAGCTGCTCTCAATATTTGATCTTTCCTCCCAAGATATAAAGGGCCATTTCAGACCAGTAAAGGAAGAATTAAATACCTTTTTAGAGGATGCTTTGTAGAAAATATTTCTACAGTTCTGCCATCAGTTCTGGTCCCCAATCCCTCCAAAGCTGTTTTAAACTGATTAGCTATTGCCAACAATCTTATGATGCAGCAGGGTTACCTTTTTGGTTTCTTTTGTGCAGCAGCTTGGGAGATTGGGATACAAAAATGCTTTTCACTTTTTTCAACTGCATCCTAGGTTATAAAAGGGTGTAAAATGTTTTACAGTGCCTGCCCCCCCCCTTCTTATTTCACTTTGTCTGGCAGTCTGTGCCAATTTCTGGGAGCTGGAAGAGCCAACCCAGCTCTGCTCTTGAAAGATTTTTTAGCATGTCTGCCACCAAACTTCCAGGAGATAAGAATTTCTAGAAATGAAGAAACTGCTTCTGTGCAAGCTTCCCAGAATAGCAGCATATCAAGCAATTAAACTAGCTTCACATTAGTTTCAAGTATAAAACAGCTGAGCCAAAAGTAAATTGGTTCAGCTGCTGAAGGATGGATGTGGGAGTAATCCTAATGTGTTACATCATAGAAAGCTCTCTTTTGCTCACCGCATTATTATGGGCCTGTTTCCTTATTACCTTTACTTTGTATCAAATTTATTCTCCCCCCGTCCACTTTACAATTCCCATGGATTAAAATATAATTGATTCAAATTTAGGTTTCTTCTCTTTGCATTGAGATCTAAATATTACAAGACATTTTTAGATAGATTAATCTCATTGACTGTATGAAAAGTTTATCTCAGGCATGTTTCACTGTTAGCTACATCCAATGTAAAAGAAACTGTAATCCTATAGGTTTTGTGTATTCTTTTAATTCCTATTTTGGAAGTACACCTTTCATATGGGATTTTCACAGAGTTGTTGTTATAGCATTAAATAGATGTTATATGTTTAACACTGCCAAATCACTTGGCACATTTTTATTCTTTCTAATCCACAAAACGTGGAGGCTCAAACTCTTTCAGGGTGTAGAACCTGTTCTTTAAGCAATCAAGAAGGATGGGGCTTCTGAATATCAACAGACAAGCTCCACTCTTTTTACTCAAGTATAATAAAATTGCTATGTATGCCCTTGAACAGTAGCATCAAGATGGGAATGGAACCCCCTAGTTCCTTGCAAAAAAAAAATCCTTCATGGGTGGGGAGGATTTTAATATCTGCAAGGCCTGAAAGAACGGGGAAAACACTTCTGTATAAGGGAATAAAGTTTAGTTGTTTACAGAGTTTCTTTCTCCATTAGTCCCAGTGAACCTATCCCAAGCCAGTTTGGTCTAATGTTAAGGACCGGGCTAAGAAAGCAAAAGACTGAGTTCAAGTCCCACCTTGACCATAAAAGCCAACTTAGTGACCTTGGGCAGTTACTCTCTCTCAGCCCAACCCACCTCCCAGATTGTTGTGGGGGAAACAGGAGAAGGAAGATATATTGGATATGTTTGCTGCCTTCATTATTTTTGTAAAAATAACAAAGGCATAATATAAATAAATAAAAATAGTTCCCATGGACCCTGAAAAAGTCTGAAAAAGCCAAACATAATAAAATAAGTTATAAGTTAATTGAACTTATAAGTTATTTATACTCTATTTGTCATGGGTCCGACAGACAGAGACCAATAAAGCAGAACTCCAAGGCTTGAGAATTCCTCAAAAAACATGTTTATTAGTTACAAAGTATCAGCGTGGTCAAAAGTGAAACCAAGTCTGAATACACAAGTAACAATTACCCAATACAAAATTAAATGTCCCACCCATAAAACTATGCAAGCAATTATGTTCCCCAATATGATTATTTGGTGGGCTTTTTATGCCCAGTCCCTAGTCTCAGGAGCAACTGATGACCTTGGTTCCCATGGGACAGAAGATTATTTTGACTAATGAAGCACTTGGGCAACCCCCCTCCCTCCATTCTATGTGGCAACCTAGAATGAGAAGAAAAAATAGCTGCAGCCATGCTCATTTGTAGAGTTGACAGTCGGCCCCTCTCAAAAAGAAAGAGTCTTCTGTAGAGGAAACAAAAAGCAGGTTAAGCATTTCCTCGAGGCTTGAGAGGATATTTAACATAAAACTTTTTTATTAACCTGTCTGCTTTCACATTTTATCCAGTAGATTCTGACATGGGATAGCCTTTCCACTGAATGAGGTACTGTAACTTTCCCTTGTACAACCTAGAATCAAGAATTCATTTTATTTCATAATATGGTTCCCCCTCTACCACTGCTGGACTTGGCGGCTTCTTTGGAATAGGTCTTAAAGAATATTCAGACATATGTTTCAACAGACTACAATGAAACACAGAGTGAACTTTCCCCAACAGTCATGGAAGTTTCAATTCCACTGTAACAGGTTTTATGATTTTTGTGATGGGAAAAGGACCGAGGAACTTTGGCCCCAATTTTCTGCTGGGTAACTTTAACCTTAAATATTTTGTTAAAAGATAAACCAATTACCCAACATAAAAAGGGTTTTGAGGGGAGTGTCATTTGTCTGCCTGCTCCTTGTAAACCTTGATAGCCTTGGTCAATGCTTTCTTCATATTCATTCAACCCCCCTGGAAAGATGTTGCCCATTGATCCAAAATCTGGGAAGTAGGAGGATCCTGGGGGTACTCAGGCATTGGTACAAAATCTTGACCTGTTACTATTTTAAATGGGTTGAGTCCAGTGCTATTATGCACAGTATTGTTGTAGGCTACCTCTGTGAAAGGCAGGAGGTCAGCCCAATTAGTCTGTTGGTAGTTAACATAGCATCTGATGTACTGTTCCACCATTATGTTAGCTTTTTCAGCTGCTCCATTTGTACTCTGATGAAAAGTCAAAGAAAACCCCTGAGTCAACCCAAACAGTTTAACAAACCCCTTCCAGAACTTTGCAGTAAACTGGACACCCCTGTGAGAAATAATCCACTTCGGGGCTGCATGGAGCCGATGTTTTTTTAAAAAAATCTTGGTTAGTTTCTGGGCAGAGGGAAGTCCCGAGCAAGCGATTAAATGCCCTTGTTTGGAAAATACTGTAGATCAATTACAGTCCATATTACGGTGTTTCTCTTGCTCTCTGGCAACTCTACTATAAAGTCCATGGCTATCTCTTCCCAAGGCTGGAAAGTATCAACCACTTGTTGCAGCAATCCTGGAGGTTTCCCAGGACATCTTTTTATTGCAGCACAGGTAGCACAGCTCCTCACATAACTCTCAATGTCTCTTTTTATCCCAGGCCATTAGAATTGCCTCCGCACTAAATGCAACGTTTTCAGGAACCCAAAATGACCCACCTGCTTTGCATCATGACTCCGTTGAAGGGCTTGGTGTCTGAGGCCATCTGGGAGGTATAACTTAGACACTTTCCAGGCTAGTCCTCCCCTAAGGTTTAAAGTAGATTTGTTATCTTTGAACCAGGTGTCAGTCTCTAATTGCTTCTTTAGTTTCTCCAGTAAGTGATGGTCATGACCAGCAGGTGGTCCTTGTGATTGCATTCTAGTTGTTATTTGAGAAGAGACTGCTGCAGGGGAATACTGAGTTGATTACTTTTGAACTGGGGAATTCTAGACAAGGCGTTAGCCAAAAAATTCTTATCCCCTGGGAAGTACTTTAAGGTGAAGTTAAAATGGTTGAAGTATTGAGCCCATAGGACCTGTTTCAGGGATAATTTGCAGGGGGTTTTCAGAGCTTCCAAATTTTTATGATCAGTCCATACTTCAAAAGGTATCTCCCCCTCTTCCAAAAAATGACGCCACATTAGTAATGCCCATTGCACCGCAAAAGCTTCTTTCTCCAAAATGGCCCATCTCCTCTCTGTGTTGGTTAGCTTCTGGGAAGGGTTGTAACCCCCCATGGTGATTTTTTTGTAAGAGAAAAGCACCCACAGCTTCATCACTTGCATTGGCTTGAATGATGAATTGCTTTTCAGGATCAGGGTGCTTGAGAACAGGTTCGGCTGAAAAGAGTCTTTTTAGTTTCTCAAATGCCGCTTGACATTTTAGGCACCAAGACAATGGCTGACAAGGTTGGGGTTTCTCCACCCCTCTCCCCATTTTCAATAAGTTAGTTATTGGCATGGCTATTTTTGTGAAAGAGGAGATAAATTTGCAGTAAAAGTTAGCAAACCTATTCATGAGCAGGAAGAGTCATGTGGTAACTCAGTCAGCCAATATGAAGAAAGTGCTACTGAGTCTGTGCAAAAAGGTATTGAATTAGGAGCTGAATTTTCAGTCTCAGGCTTGTCTCTGTATCTCTCTGTAAGAAGTCTTCATTGAGCTATGTTGCTGTAAAGAAGAATGTATGGTATTGTAAATATTTTGATATGAATATAAAGAAATTTATTTGAATCAGCTAAATGAAGTCAACTGTGAGAGCTTCTGATTTATTTTTTCACTAATAGAGAAATTAAAATTCTCTGACAGATTATGGGCCCAGAGCTTACTAAGAACTGCATTGTAATTTAAAGCTGGAAGAAATTGCCTGTGTTTAGAAAGTATAAGAACAAGGCAGAATTAGCAGAATGGCTGCAATGGAATTTAAGGAAAACTCTGTGCCTCGTTTGGGCCAGAAGAATTACATTGTGTGGGCTGCTAAAATGGAATGTTTGCTCAAAGCAAAAGAGCTGTGGTATATTGTGGAAAATCCACCACAAGTGCTTGCAGCTGCTGATCAGAAAAGTCATGATCAAGCAATGGCTTATCTCATCTTGAATTTAGATGATGAACAATTTCTAAATGTTGCAAATTTAAAGACTGCAAAGGAGATTTGGTTGAAGTTGAGAGCTGTGCACGTGAATGTTTCTGCATGCAATATAGTGCAATTGTCAAGAAAACTTTACAGGGCCTGTTTGCAGCCAGGTGAATCTGTGGAACAGCATTTAAATAAAATGCAAAGTTTATTTTTGGACTTAGAACAACGTGGGATTAAATTCCCTGAGTCCCAGAAGGTTTTATTGGTGTTGAACAGTTTAGATAAAACCTGGGACACAGTTCTGCGATATTTGAGTGTAAAGAAGAGCAAGACTTAAATTTTGAGGCTTTAAAGGCATGTTTGCTTAATGAAGAAGAAAAACAGCATTTTAGGAACAGCCATGAGGAGGTGAAATTCCTGAGGAGGGGGTCCAGACTGCAAGTCTCTGGAGAAGAAACAAGCAGATGGGACCAAGTTGCATCAAAAGAGAGATTTTGCAAGCAGAGGGCTCAGCAAGAAAAGAATTGCTACATTTGTGGAGCAAACACACATCTGAAAAGGAACTGTTTGCAGAGGAACAATTTACAGCAAAGGACATTTGTGCAAGCAAAAAAGACTGATTTGCAAAAGGAACATTTTGGTGTTGCAAAAGTTTGCTATAGCAACAACAGAGACAAGTGGCTAATAGATAGTGGGGCAAGTCAAACAATTGTTAATGACTCTGAATTATTTTGCAGGTTTGTTCCAGTAGCACAAGAAGCTGTGGCTTTGGCAAATGGCCAGAAAGCAAAAGTCATTGGAAGAGGCGATGTAAAAATTCCATATTTGGAATCAAAGTTTACCAATGTGCTTTGTGTACCTGAGATGGAACATAATTTGTTAAGTGTGTCTAATTTAGGCAAACAAGGTTTTGAGATCATTTTTGTAAATGGGAAGTGTCTTATCAAAAGGAATGGGAATATTTGTGCAGAAGGCATAAAGGAAGATAATCTATATGTATTGCAGGGACAAAAGGTTCAATGTTCCCATATATTTAAGAATGTTGCAGAGCATGATTCGTGTATTCGTCTTTTACATAGAAGACTTGGCCATGCAAGCTTTAAA